CCCCCCGAGAATCCTCTGCTCTTTCCCAAATGTTACGTTTATTTGAAAGTTTCCGTGGTTGGCTACTACCCAGATGTGAAGTGTTTTGGAAAAAATGAGCAAAATCCGTTTAGCTATGTGATTTAAGACATGAGGAGAGAATGAACGAATTCCAGAAAAGGGCTACTTCATTTAAAAACAACTACAAAAAGTTAAAAATATACACCAAAAACTAAAAAATGTTTTTAAACAGCAGTAATTTCCTTAACAATCGTTTTCTTAAAGATAATGCTGTACTTACATAAGATTAAGTGGGACAATTTTTAGGAAATCAAGAATATAATGAACTGATCTCCAGATTTAGTAATTTAATTAATCTTAAAAGATTGCGTTAGACTAATAATGAAGACGCCTTGCTTTACCTGCAGTGACTTTTGAAATGTCATAAACTTGCCATGATTTTGTTTATGAATTTGCTTTTTAACTTGAAGAATTTGAAAAAAGATCAAAATCACATTTTTAAAAAACAGCAAATTATGAATGGGGAAAGAGATTTATCCATATTTATTATTATTTAATGTATTATTTAATATTATTTATATTGTCAGTAAAATATTGATATATTCAATGACAGGAACATCTAGTTCTGAGAGAAAGATAAAAACTATTTCCTTAATCTTTCAAGTGTATTTATCAATGACTTGAGGGAGCTCTAGTAGCCTAGTGAGTAGGAAGTTGGGCTACCAACCCAAAGGCAGGTAGTTCCTATCCACCAGCTACTCCAAGGGAAAAACATGGGAGATTTCCTCCCATGCAATTTACAGCCTCTAGAAACCTGCTGGAGGGCCAGCTATGAGTTAGTGATCAATGATTGATAACTCTCTTGTCTGTCAGTCCTTTAGATAGAACTGATTGTTTAGACCATTTCCTTTTCCTCAACTACACCCAAAATACTGAACAATCCATTTGTTTTCCTCCCAATTTTTTTTAGCTGCTCCAATTTTCCTATAAACATTTTTTTCCTAGGTTTAAAGATGTAAATATTTCATAATATATGGAACAAATATAGGAAGGAAACATACATAATTTTTCTACATTTCTACCTTTGGAAAATTGTGAAATAGGTTTTGCCCACCATTTGGAAGAAAGGTACAATATGAGTACACTACGTCCTTTGAGAAGGACAATGAAAAATTGAAATTATTATAAAAGGGTAATTGTTTAAGAATTTCATTTCTTCATCTTTCTAAATAATTTTTTTAACTGTTGTTGTTACTAGGTGCAATTGAGTCAAGTATAATTCATAGCACCCTCTAAGATCAACAGATCTGAACCTTGTCCTATCCTGTACCATCCTCATCGTCTCTTACATACTCAAGCCTATTGCAGCAGTCACATGTCAATCCATCTGATTGAGGGTCTTCCTCTCTTTTACCAACCCTATACCTCTGAAAGTATGATGTCCCTCTCCAAGGAGTAGCTTCTCCTAACAACAAGCCTAAAGTATGTGTGAAATGAAGCTTTGTCATCTTTGCCTCCAAGGAGCTTTCTGGTTTCACTTTCTCCAAGACACTTGTTTGGCAGTCCATGGGATATTCTGTATTCTTCTAAACACCACAACTCAAAGTCATCAATTCATCTGTCATCGTTACTCATTGTCCAGCTCTCAGATGCATAGCAACTGATTGAGAAGATCACCTCAGACTGACATCATTGCTCCTCAATAATTTGGAAACGTCCTGCCACAGACTTTCTCAATACAATTTGTCTCTGGATCGCCTGACTGCTAGTAACAAGTCTATTGATTGTGAATCCAAGTAAGATGAATTCTCTGACAGTTTCAATCTTTTCTCTATTTCTCATGAGGTAACCTATAGGTCCAGTAGTGAGAATTTTGTGTTCTTGATGTTTCCTTACCTCCAAGGAACAGCCTGGCCTCACCCTCTCCAGGATGAACTGGTTTGTTCTCCTAGCAGTCCATGGTATAGTCCTTACTCTTCTCCAAACCCACAGCTCAAAGACATCAAATCTCATCCCTAGTCATTGTCTAGCTTACTGATGCATAGCAAGTAATTGACGAGACAATGGCCTGTATCAGGCACATCTTAGTCTCCAGACTGACATTGTTGCTCTTCAGTACTTTGGAGAGGTCCCTGATAGCAGACTTTCCCACTGTAATTCTTTTTTTAATTTCCTGGTTGCTAGTAACAAGAGTGTTGATTGTGGAGCCAAGCAAATTAAAGCTGTTAACAATCTACAAAAAGAAAAGTCTCTCCAGATTAACATGTGTAACATATAAACCTGACATTCTTTTTATAGAACCTTTTGAGGACAATTACATACACACACACACACACACACACACACACACACACGAAAGGGTTGGGGTTTTTTTCCTGTGGTTAGTTTTTTTTTGAGTTTTTAAAAACATATTTTCTATCTTTCAGTCATATTCAAGGAATATAATTTCTGGTGCAGCAGGCATGTGATAGGAGTATAAAAGCTATACTTGATGTGATCATAAATGTACCAGAATTTTCTAAATGATCAAATCTCTTCCTTTTTGGACTCTAGACAAAATAAATTATTTGTCCATTTTTCTTGTTCTCCACATATTGTACAAAGAATTGCTATTCCTCTTTGAGTTGCTATACCCACTACTCCCAATCTTGAGGTCTGGCATTAATCTTCAGTACTATGATTGCTGACACCATGTGCTGAGTGGTTTCATCTGCCATCTTGGACTAGAGCACACAAGCTACATGTGTAATTTAAATGTTTAAAAACAGGCATGACAAACACTAAATATAATAGTTATTTTGTCTGGAAATATACAATGCAGAATAGGATGACAATTATCAAAAAAAGATTTCAGTAGTACCTGTAATACTGGTTACTTAAAAAACAATATTATTAAAAAAATTTAAAAAAACCCAATATTATTAAAAATCTAGAGTGAAGCAAGTGTACCACTTAGGTAACCAAAGCAGTGGTGTTTGTTATGCTCTTTCTAATAAAAAAATGGTGTTTGTTATGTTTCCCTACACCTCTCCAAAATACTGAAGAGCAATGATGTCAGTTTGAAGACCAAGGTGCATGTAATTTGGACCATAATCTTTTCAATCACTTGCTATGCGTCTGAGAGCTGGACAATGAATAAGGATGACAGAAAAAGAACTGATGCCTTTGAACTATGGTGTTGGAAAATAATACTGAATATCTCATAGTGTAAAAATAGCAGGGACCTCCTGAGGATGGCTATACATGACTTCTACCAACTCCACAAAGGGTAACTGTCTCCATTAATAATATCAACAACGCAAAGCCAATTCCGATGAGGTCAGGCTTATCCTTCACATTCCTGCCACACACAAATCTTACTGCTCTACTGGGTCTGAACTCGATTGTGATAGGTCACAGACCACACAGAATCATATTAGGGAAGAAAAAAGTCTAGAATGAAAGTAAAAATTCAGGTTGTTGGAAAGATACAATCATTCAGTGAGGACAGTTTCCAAAAATGTGCTTGCAGGCACCTCAGCCTTCAGACTCACAGCTTTAGGCTAGTGTTACAAAGTTCTCAGTCCTGCCAGTTATGACTCTCCTCCCTCACATTCCAGTCTGCTCAGCACACTTGGGCAAAGGCTCTTAACTCTGGTTCTTTGGGGCAGCAGTCCCAAGGTCAGCTCTTTCTCATGTTAAGTTTCTGGATTGCTGCTGCTGCGGCTCTCCTGTTGGTCTGGCTGGTACAAGAATCTTTGGCCTCAGAGTGTGCACTGGATTCTTTGCTTCTTTGCTAGTGTTGGGGTTCTCAAATTCTGCTGCTGAATCTGCTCAGTTTGATAGTAAGACTAATCAATCACCTTGTGAATAAGCAAACACATGTACCTTCTTCCCCACACGTACATGACAAAGTCAATGGCTAAGAAAGTCATATTGAACAACAAACCCCTAACCCCACATATGAACTGCCTAAGGAACAAACAGATATACTTTGGGGAAAGTGCAGCAAGAGTGTTCCTTGGAGGCAAAGATGAGGAAGGTTTGTCTCACGTACTTTGGACCTGTTGCTAGGAGAAGCTATTTCTTGGAATGGGACACCATAGTTGGAAAGGTGGAGAGGTCAGTAAAAGAGAGGAAGACCCTCAAAGAGATGGATTGACACAGTGACTGTAGTAATGGGCTCAAATGTGTCAAATTATGAGGATGGTACAGATAGGACAGGGTTCAGATATGTTTTTGTCAGATCGCTGTGAGTCTTACTCAGCAGCGCCCAGCAACAATAATATTCCAAATATGAGTGTTGAATATACCATAAACTGGTAGGAAAACAAACAGGTGTGTGCTGGAGAGGGTGAAGCCGGGCTGCTCCTTGGAGGCAAGGATTCTGAAG